AAGCACGGACCCCTGAGGGATGTCACTGGCCACTTTGCGCCAGGACGACACAGATCCATTCATGAGACCTTTCTGGGTCCTACCCTTTAGCCAGTTTCCCACCCACTGAACCATCGAGCAGCCGAGCCCACAATCTTCCAGTTCCCCACAAGGATATCATGGGATACTAGATCAAAAGCCTTTTGAAAGTCTAGGTATATAACATCTACCACGTCCAGGTGGCAAGAGACCTAATCGTAGAAGATGAGATTGGTAAGACAAGACCTACCTGCAGCAGAGCCATGCTGGCTGTCATTCAGAATCTTACCTTCCACGAGTGTATTGCACACAGATTCTTTAATGAGCTTTTCCAGGATTTCCCCCGGGATGGAGGTTAGACTGATTGGCCTGTAGTTGCTTGGGTCCTCCCTCTTCCACCTCTTGAAGATGGGCACAATGTTGGCCTTCTTCCAGTCATCAGGGATTTCCCCTGTGCACCACGAATTCTGAAAGAGCTTTGCCAGGGGTTCCGCGATGGCCTCAGCCAGCTCCTTTAACACTCTCGGATGGAGTCCATCCAGTCTTGCTGACTTGAAGCTAACTGTGTTACTTCAAATATGACTAAACAAAATATTGCCATTTTACCCTCTTGATAAACTATATTGCAGTATAGGACACACTTTTTAAAACAAAGTATTTCTTCTAAAAATGGCCTATGTCTTAACTTCAAGAAAAAAGAAGTAAAAAGTTCTTATGTACCATATATGTGACAGTGATACACATGACATTCCAGGCACTTTTAATTAGCGTGGTTCTCAGAGGCTCGCTAATTAAAGTACCTCGCTCTCCCTCAGCCTCCTGGAGCCCATCTATAAATGCCCCTGGTTGCCAATGGCTTCCTATCTGACATCTGACTTTGGAACTCACTTTTAAAAAAGGACTTACTATGCTGTTCAGCTTGTTCTTAGATCAGAGACAAGATGCATCTCTCCTACTTACTTTCCCTGCTCTTATTTCTGCTAATGGAGAGCCTCAAGGCAGGGCAGGGGGAGTACTAGTGGAGAGAGAGTTGACTCTCTTAAGGAGTGGATGGGGAGAGATCTACCTGTGGAGATTCCCCTCTATGTGTGGATTCAAGTTGTATGACTGTGCCCATTGTTTTTCTATGCTGCAGTTCACTGTGGCATTCTCCGTTATGTATTAAACCAAAATGAAAATCAAAATTAGCTTAAAATAAATATTTAATGAAATGTTTATGGGAAGTTCTTCATTGTGATTAAATAGATCTTTCACAGACAGTTAGCTTCTATAGGTTTTTGTAGTATTGTGATGATATGATAAAACATGGAAGCTGCATACTAGAATACTAATGAAGTTCTTTGTATTTTATTTGCTTTTTGTTTTCCTTCAAGATTTCCACAGTAAAAGAGCCTTTCATTGATCTTTCACTTCCTATAATAGAGGAGAGGGTAAGACGCACATAAAATATTAAATTTGAAAGCAGTTTCCATGGAAGCACTTTTTTCCTTACATGAAAATGTGTACGTGTTTGTATGTACTTAGGTATAGACACATGTGACTTGAATTTATAGCCTAAAAATATGAATATGCATATGTAATATGCTTATATAGTTAAATATTTACATAAATACAAAATATATCAACAGTGTGTTTATAATATTAGATTAGATTTAGAACAAAATATATTATTTAATCAGCATATAGTTCTGAATTTATTCTAATAATAACTTTGCCTGTATACATACATACATACATATACTGGTAGTTTGTTGTTAGATATGACTAAATACAAATAGATTTCAGGGGACTTAAATGTTTTTTAAAAGGTCACATGAATGCTAGGGGAGAGCATTCACTACTTAGTATAATAAAGTTACTGAGGCTTGGAGGCTAAAATAAAATGACTTTTTAATCCATGGTGGTGCATGTTATTCAGATTTCCCCTTGGACATCAGGTGAGGCAATTGAACCCCAAGAGGACTTTTCCTGTGAGGGAAGGCAGATAACATTTTTACCATCATCCTTCTCCATGTATTCTTCTGGGGAAAAGCAGCTTAATTTGTGGTAAATCTGCCTGAGAATATGTGGGCTAAGGCTTGACTCCCCAAAAGGATTAGATGTCCAACTCCCATTGAAGTCAGTGGGAAGGAGGCACACTAAAAACCTTTAGGGTCTGGGCTTCTTTGGGTGCTTCTATACAAGATCCTGAATCTGCAGTAGACTAATTCTACTGTGCATTAACACGTCATGGCAAAAGTTGTGCTAATGTGTAGCAGAATTAGTCATTAAGCTCATAACATAAGCTCGTAAAGCTGCATAACAAGACTGTGTGCCTTTCCTACTGTGCAGTAGCTCCAGCTACTGTGCATTTATGTAGTTCCTCATATTAGAGGTACCAAACTTAATGTCCAGTAACAAAGGTGCATTAATGCACTGTAGATGCACCCAGTGTCTTCCTGTTCACATATCTGCCCTGGGAGTGGTAGTTTTTGCGACAGGAGTTTCTTGCTGCCCTTAGGTGTTACTGCAGTTCTGTTGGAGCTCTCTCTCCAGTTAACAAAATGTGAATTTCTTTAGTACTTTACAAAATTGCAAGGAATTAGAAACAATTAATAACATATTACTTCTCCTCAATAATATTTATTCACAGGTCTCAAAACCTGTGCCTTTGGGAAGGACAAGTAAAGGTAAAACTGCACTGGAGGTGGATTTTGGTCACTGCAACTGCCCTTCTGTTACTGCTCTAAATAATCAGCAAGCAAAAATCACCAAGAAACACTCTTTAACAAAAGATAAGGTAAGCATCTGTGCTGTCTAGTAATCTTCAGATTGATCAGCAGCGAATTGTTTACTTGTGGATTTACAGTTGTAGGAATTTTGAAAGTCTGTATTTTTATGGCCTAAATTGCAAATGTGTTAGAAAACATACAGAACGTTGTAAATGCATGAATAAATCGGTTACTGGAATGCCATAATTCCATCATTTAAATGTGACCTCATTAGAAGAGAGAGCTTTTCTGCAGATCAGTTTTTTAATTCATGCTTCTTTTCTTTTGTTGCCCTCCCTCACCTCTTACTGTCCGCTAAGTTTGCTTCTGGCTGCAGTCACAGGCCCTGTAATGCTGGCCAAGAGAGCAGACAAGTCAGTATTAGTGCCATTTGGTGGATCAGTTGGCAGGGTGTGCTACAAAAGTAGTACAGCCAACCCAGTCTCCCTGGAGACAGAGAACATGATTTTCATGATGCACTCAGCCTCCAGGGCCTGAGAACTATAGTTCATCCCCTTAACATGGTCTTCCTGATGGTGGCACAGCATTCTGCAGACATGCCAAACTAACAAATACTGAAGCTTTTCCCTACTTCATGTGCCATTTTTATTATTATACAAGAAAGCATATATTTTTGGTTATCAGAGCTTTACAGAGGAAGGGAGAACTGTGATCCATGTGGTATATAAGTACCAACTGTAAAGATAAAATGACAGGATATTGATATTATTAAGGTTCCATGTGTTAATACATGTATTATGTGGCTTCTTATTTTATATATGACCCAACATCAGATTAAGTCCTATCAGCATTGCCCTTGCTGGGTTCTAAACAGTCTTTGAATGGGTATGAAATTATTAGTAGTACTGACAGGAAATTAGTACCACTAAGATGATTCCAGAGATGGTCATTAGCATAACTATGAGTCTAAATTGTATACCTTTAAATAGAGCACTAATTTAATTTTAGTATTATAAGTCTAAGTCTCCAACATAGTGCAGGAAACAACTGTGCTTTCATTGAAGATGGCTAACAATACTTATAAAGTTACTAGTGTCTAATTTGTGAGAGCCTGTGGTTCAGAAACTCATATACTACTTTTCTTTTGGACCATCCATCACCACTGTATTATTATGGTTTTCTTTCCGGATATTTGAAGAGGTACTACATATCCCTATTCTCCTCTGAATCACTGAATCTCTCTGAAACAGAGGATTGCCAGTTCCACATACCATTTGCTTCTATTCTTTGCGTCTAGCCTAGGATTTCAGAAGTCTGTATCTGGAGCTCCAGGGGTACTTGGAAACCATCCATTTTCAGCAGGAAGGCATCCAAGCACTGGTTGCCAGGCCTAATGCTTTTATTCAGCAAACTAGACTTAACAGCTTTAAGGGCTTAATGAGTGCTGTTTGCATAACATCCACAAGTTCTAATAGGAGTTAGTGACAATAGGGAATTAGTTTCTTTGTATAACTTGTAGAAATAAAACAAACTTCACTGGGACAAGAAAGGTTTCTGACTAGTGGAAAATAGCACGGTGGGTAGTCAGTGGTTTTTTGTTTGTTTTTCATTTCTTCTTTGCTAAATAGCACAATTACTTCCCAGTTTAAGGCTCCAAATCACAAAAGCTTGTCCCTGTCTAGAAAAAACTTTTGGGAACATGCTTGATTTGCATTAACTTCAGTGGATTTAAGTATGTACTTAAAACTTAAAATTGAGCATATGCTTCAAAACCCTCTGGCTCATGCTTTAAACACAAACAATGAACATGAAGAAAGCAGAGACAATAGCGTAGCACTAGAGAATATCCAGGACGGATCAATGAGACTGAAGTATAAAAAAGAAAGGTGTAATAGAAACAGTAGAAAAGATGGAAGGAAAAAAATATAGGCATTCATAATGGTGGGAGATAAAGGACTAGATCCAAAACCTTTTGAAGTTAACTGGAAGAGTCTTATGGACTTAACTGGAATTTGGATCTGACTGAGAAAATGAATTAGGAATGAACAGAGAAGTAGGTTGACTACAATTTTGTAATTGAAGTGTAGATACCAGAGAGAGACCAAAAGAGGTGGGGGGAAGGGAGAAGAGAAAGCTGAGAGATGAGTATAAGTCTGCTAAAACCTGGCCTAATGATGTATTTTCTTGTGGGTGAAAGGTTATCCTCTTCTTGCCCCTGCCTCTTTGAATTTAAAGTTTAAAAAAAAATCCATCTGCAGATACTGAAATCATATATAGATGATCAAAAATAGACCTACCACAGAAAAAACATAATAAAGATTATAAAGGTAATCCTTAACACATTTACAGTGCTGCAAGAATAAAGTAATCAGTACAGATTAGGTGAATGAAGTATATGGTAAAACATTTTAAACTTGGCTACACAAAGTGTTTTGAGATTAATGCAGGTGTGAGGCGCTATCAGTATATCATCCCTTGAACCTCCATCTTTAAGCCTGTCCCAACCTAGAACTCTCTCTGCAACCCACTCCAGCAATTTCCAGGGCCTACTCAAGCAACAAACAGCCTTGCAACTCCTTATCACCAAAACCAGCCGTGAGTCTCTCTTGTGATCACAGCCAATTGCAGCCATATTATCATAAGTAACTACAAAAGATTAGGATATTAGAACAGTGGTTCATATCTTTTTGGACTCAAGGCACCCCGTCCTGCACTTGAGATACCCTCCATAACTTTTGTGAACTGAGTGGCACCCAGTTTCAAAAACTAATCTTTATGTTACAGTGCTTACTGGTCAGGGGTCAGCAACTCCCAGCATGCATGCCGAGCATGGAACACAATGTAATTTTGCTCGATGCACCTCCACCAGCCCAGGCTTTAATCAGCTGTTGCCAGCCATGGAGCCCAGGCTGCTCCCAGCAGGCAGCTGGGAGGCTGCAAGCAGACCGGGCTCCTAGGGCTGGCTACAGCCAGAAGGCTGCAAAAAGCTGCTCTGGGCTCTGGCATGTCGGCACTCCGGCACCTTCCAAGGTATAGATTGTGGTTTTTTCGGCACTCTGGCCAAAAAACATTGCCTACCCCTGCTGTAGGTTCTTACAGCAGGGGTAAGAGATTGTCCAGTCAGGGATAAGCCTGAGCCTGGCTTACCTGCTTAGCTTTCTGCTTATCTCCTCACAGTACCCTTCAAAACATTTGGAGGCACCCCAAGTTGTCCCAGCACCCTGGTTGAGAATCACTGTATTAGAACAATGATAAGAAGAGGAAAGTGATCCCAAATGGAAAATGTTGTGAACCCTTTTTCTTTTTCCAGAATTTATGTGGTAAAAAATTGGTTTTCTCTTCTCATAATCATGCATTTTTATTAACAATTTTTAATATTTCTAAATTTTAAAAACAATTCAGAATTTCTTAAAACCTAGGTTCCAAGCGAAGTAGAATTTAGTTGTGAGGATGCAATCTTAGTATAGGTTTGTGTATGCTAATTTTTCAGTGGCAGTACAAATTATTAGTCTAACTGATCTCACAGTTCAAGTTTACAGATCAAATATGGAATCCTTTACCATGCATGGATCAAGTTATAACATAGATATAATTCAAATGGGTAAGATAGATGTCGCTATGGATATGTTGCTGCCAAATATGTAAGTTTACATCCGAACACCAATTTGTCTAAATAATTTAAAGAAGTAGTGTTATAGAACATGGTGAAACCAGATCAATACAATACAATACAGGTCTTTATTTTACTTTGAAAATATAAGTTATATTTGCTGTTACTTTAGCTTCACAAATCTATTTTCTCTCTCACCTCTATTATTGAAATATTTCAATACTATTTGCAGAATCAGTTAAATTATGAAAGACGCCTTTCCAGAAAATCCTCCTCTGGTGGGGAAGATAGAAGTCCTGTTATCATGCATGAAAAGGATGGTAATCTTGAAGCAGAATGTGGCTCTGGAGTTCTGTATTCGGAAGACACAATTCCTGAGTCTGCAGTAAATGGAAGTCAGACTGAAGGCAGTGAAAAAGATATCAGTTGTTCTGAAAGTAGTGTTGATGCAGACAGCGAAGCCTCGGAAGGCGAAAGTGCTTCTACACAGTCACTTTTTGGCACATCCAGTAACACATCTGGTTTGCATGTCGACCGACTCAACCATTTATCAGGAAATGTCAAACCACAAAACAGCAAACCAAGCGATAGTCACAATGAGGTGACTGTTATCACTGCCATATCCAAACTCAGCCTCAGCAATACTGTAAAAGAATGTGAAGAGGGGGATTCACCATTGAGTTTGTCAAACAATTCAGTGTTTTCAGTGGAAAAGTCCCCTTTGTCCAAAAATCCCCAAAATGCTTTTCAGACCCTTTCTCAAACATATTCAACTAGCTCTAAAGAATGTTCTGTTCAGTCCTGCCTCTACCAGTTTACATCTGTGGAGCTGTTAATGGGGAACAACAAGCTTTTATGTGAGAGTTGTACAGAAAGGAAACAAAAGTATCAAAAGAAAACAAACTCCACAGGTAACATACTAATGTTTGTTGAAATATGTTAATAAGTTAAATATATTTCCTTTCAAGGGCTTCTTTGCTCTATTTGTCAATGTCAGTCTCTGCTGAACTGCATGGGCTCCCTCTGGTGGTGAAATAAATAGCTGTAAGTTTCAGTTAAAGTTGGTGAAACTAAGCTTTAATACAAAGCCATTACATATAATATGATACCGGTTTAAATTCAGATTCAGAATTCTACACTCTTTGGGTACAACCTGAATAACATAATAGGACCATTTCAAGTTCAATAGGTTCAGCATTTGACCTATGATTTTTCATATTTACAAGTCCCTGATAGGCAAAGAATACATGTTTTAATATTCAGTGCTTGAAACCCCACTGCTGGGAGATGTCCTATAAGTAAGAATGTGTGAGTCAACAAAATATGTTCTCCTTTGAGAGGATTGTCCATAGAGGCCTCCTTATTACGTGAATGTACATGCACCGAATTGGAAGCTTGTTATCTCAGTAGTATGCTTCAGGTATACTATAGACACAGCCTGCCCCCAGTCTAGGCCAAGGAGATAAGGACACTGGCTTCTCAATTCCTCTTGACCACACTGGCTAGAGTTGGAGCAATTATATCAGCTTTAGCTTGGGGCCTACACACCTTCCTTATGCTACAAGGGCTTCTTCATTTTTTGACTGTGCTTTTTTCATTATTTCTATCCCTTAGGAAAAATGAGAGAATTTTTTTTAATCTTCTTTCTTTTGTTGGGTTTTCTGCCCTTTCCACCCACTCTTCCCACACACTTTAATTTTTACTGCACCATGTAGCACCCCAATATTGGAAGTTGTCTTCCCCTTGTTGACTGTCTCCTGTACCTACTCCTGTAAAATCAAGGCCACTTTTCTTCTGTAAGTATTACAATCTGATGTTGTGTAGAACCCTGGATTTTTGTGATTTTTCTAAAAAATATGTAGAGGTAACAGGAGCAAGCATTTACATGTATGTGTAAATATAGAAAAGAATTCTCCCCAGGCTCACAACTACACAAAGAGATCAAGTTAAAGTTTGACCCTATTCTGAAAACTGCCTCTACAACTGGAATTCTCCAGTTCCATTTCTGTATGGCAGCTTGTTCAAGTAGACAGGACACTGCCCTGAGAGTAAGAGTTGTGTAAGGGGTTTTTTTCAGTTCAAGAACCAAATAAAAATATTGAAGAACCATTCAGTTCTAATTCTACTACTTTTTTCATTTTTTCTAACCAAAATAAAATAAAAAGTTGATTTCATATCATATGACAACGTTTATATTCAAGATGAATTGAAGCAAGCCGTGATGCACATTACATTTAAGATGTGATTAGCAGGTTAATCATGCTTTAAATAGTAACCTGGCCATATGTTCAAATTAATTTAAGGCATAATAATACAGTTATTCCACATATTATCATAGTCATAGAGAGGTAGGGCTGGAAGAGTCATTAGTCCAACGCCCCTGCCTGAGGCAGGATCATCCCTATCCAAGCCATCCCATGCAACCATAATCTTAACTCTACATAAGACTACCCTTAGCCCTGACACAACATGGAACAAACACCCTAACCTCCCACAGGTAAAGCAAGGGAACCTTGGCAGCCATTGTCCTCTTCAATAAAATGTTGTCAATATATGCTCAAGAGGTCCTGGGTGGAGGGCCATGGCCCCTGCTCCAGAGGAAGGCAAAAACCCCATAGTCCCTATTCATCTGATCATGGGGTAAAATTCTTTCTTGCCCCCAAGTATGGCAATCAGTCTGGCCCTGAGTGGAGGAGCATGGCCCTCTAGCCAGGAACATCTGGCTTTGCTCCTAGCAGGGGAATCAGCACACCCCAGCTGAAGTCCCCAGCCTTAGTTCTAGCCAACACCCAGCGCCTCTGAGGAGGCTTAAAAACAACCTGACACATATTGCAGAAAAAGGGGTTGGGGGGCGGGGTGTACAGAAGCAACCAACAAAACCCAGAAGCATGGGAAATGCCCATGATGGAAAATTGGCATAGATATGCCTAGAATAGGCAGCTGCACACATGGTTTTCTGACCTCCCTGGCTCTTGGGGATCCCAGGATCAAGGAGCCTTTGCCTGATTCTGAGGTCCCCATGCAATAGGGATATCAGAAAACCATGTGTGCAGGTGCACACACAGAATTTTAAAGGACCCAGCACAACCCAATCCCAGGACTAGGGAGGGGCTCCCTGATCCCCAAATCCCTACACTGTGCTGCAGTGCTGGGCATCATGCATGGTTTTAATTTATTGAGCAGCTGCAACCCGATCCTGGGATCTCCAAGCACTGAAACTGGTGGAAACCCTGTGTGGTGCCCAGCTGGATGGTTTTTACTCATGCCTACATACCATGACTGCATGATCAGATTGCATCAGCCTGATCCCAGGGTCCCTGTGTGCTGGAATCTGTGAAAACTCTGTGTGTTCCACCTTGGGAGGAAAAACCTGCAACATCGTTATAGGCTTGGCAGTGCTACGCTGGCTAGCGCTACAGAAGAAAGAGACTTGGGGGTCATCATTGACCACAAGATGAACATGGGCCTTCAATGCGATTCTGCGGCTAGTTAAACAACCAAAACGCTGGCTTGCATCCATAGATGCTTCTCAAGCAAATCCCGGGGTGTCATTCTCCCTTTGTACTCAGCTTTGGTAAGGCCACAGCTGGAGTACTGCATCCAGTTTTGGGCCCCACAATTCAAAAAGGATGTGGAGAAGCTTGAGAGAGTCCAGAGAAGAGCCATGCGCATGACCAGAGGTCAGGAAAACAGACCTTACAATGACAGGCCGAGAGCCATGGGGCTCTTTAGCTTGGAAAAGTGCAGGTTCAGGGATGATCTGATGGCCACCTATAAGTTTATCAGGGGTGACCACCATTATCTGGGGGAATGTTTGTTCACCAGAGTGCCCCAA